GAGAGAATGACAGCAATGTATAAAGGGGCGGGGAGACAGACAGAGAGAGAGAGAGAGAGAGAGAGGGCTGACATACACATACCCACAGTGTCATCTACCCATACAATAGTGAAGAAGAAAGAAAATGAAAATGGGGAAACCCAATTCCTTTTCTGGTATAAAAGATTTTGGATAATCTTCAGAGGCTTCTATCCTAAAGGGAAATATTCCTAATGCACTCAGTCTCCAAGAATCCCTCAATATCCTTTTCCTTTCCAAGGAAACCCAAGATTGATATTTTCAGGCACTGAAACACGATCTGCCTTCCAAGACAGGAGTGGAAGGAGTGACCCCACCTGATCTTCATCCATACATCTACTCCACACCCAGGGGACTGGGGCTGCTCTTAAGAATGCCTCTCCTGCCTACACATCTCCAGCTTGTCTACCTGCCTGGTGTGGAATCTCTCCCGTGTCCACAGCCTTCCGGAGGAGACGGTAGCATGGGTCATAGAGCTCCCAGCGAGTCAGATCATGAGCACTTTGGGGGGAAAGGGAAACAATATACTGGAATAAAACAAAGGGAATCAACTCCAAACACCAGGGGAAATAGGAAAGGGAGCAGGAGGGAAATGCTCACTTGTAAAAGGCAGAGAGACGTTTCAGAGTAGCTGTCAGACTGTACACCTCATCTTCATCTAGGAAAGATGACTAAGGAAGAAAGCAGGCCCACAGCAGGATTGTCCCAAGAATGCAATGACCCATGCTCCCCATGGCCCTCTCCCACTCTTGCTTGTGGTATCCAACCATGTGCCTCAGCTTCTACCTGCAGCAGCTCCTCAAGCTCCTGGTGGAAGCGGTCGGTCAACAGGTCCACTAGTTGGCTGCGGGCAAAGTCTACCCGGCTGAAGAATGTGAACTCAGGCTTACAGAGCAGATAGAGGGCTTGTGCACCAGCCTCAAGCACTGGGGGCTCTGTATGCTTCACCACCACTTCTTGGAGTTGCTGCAAGAGCAACTCCAGGTGCTGAGAAAGAGGTAACAGAAGACAGTGGGGAGGTGAGAAAGAACCAAAAGCAGTAAACTTTATAGTTAAGATATCTATGAGACGAAGTGCTTTTCAGGTCTTCTGGAACCTAGACTCTAATAAAGAAGTTGGTGCTGCATGAACCTTTTCCCTCACAGGGGAGCAGTGAGGTATAAAGAACAGATCTTCCTGCCTCACCTTCTCTAAGCGCCCAGTGCAGTAGATGCTGAGGTCAAAGTAGTTGAGGAGCTGGAGCAGGGGGGCGACCTTCTCTGCATCAGCTGAGAACTGTGGTGATGGAGAGGGAGCTCTACTTATTAGCTAATAAGCTGCTAATTCTTCCCCTCAGGGGCTATTTCCTTTCACCTACTCATGCCCTGGTACTGAACAGGGGATGCTTTACCTTGGCCAGGAGCTGGGGCAGCAAGGGTATGAGGTGCTCAGTCAGCTTCACCTTGTCATCAGCTTGGACCTTGCGTTCTTTAGTGGATAGGCCCTGGAATTAGTCATTTGGGGATAGGGAAAATGTGGAGAAACAATGGGTCCACTGATTGTATCTGTGTACTACTGCTCCTCCCAATAATTTCTGCCCAGCAGTGCTTTTCATGTTTCTTTTTTTTTTAGAGATGAAATTCTCTGAAAGGCAGGTAGAATGCCCTAACCCAGGACCTAAGGATAAGAATGGACGCCGGGGATTTAGCTCAGTGGTGCCACTGCCTTCCTTGCAAGCAGAAGGTCCCCAGTTCCATCCCTGGTACAAAAAAAAAAAAAAAAAAAAAAAAAAAAAACAA